AACAGGTGATTGTGAAGACCATGGCTTGTATCAGACGCACCTTAGTCTCCAGAGAGACACCACTACCCTTCAGCACTTTGGAGAGGTCCCTAACAGCAGACTTTCCCATGGCAATGCGCCTTTTAAAAAGTAAAGATGCTGAAGTACCATTCCTGGAAATTCTAATTCAATAAACTGGAGATATGTATCTACATCACTCTGACATATAGTTAGAACCAAGAACAGCTACACTGAAGACTTTGGCAAAAATATGATCCCAGGAATAGATGGGATACCAATTGAAATGTTTCAAATGACAGATGCAGTGTTGGATGTGCCCACCAGTCCATGCCAGGAAATTTGGAGAACAGCTGCCTGACTGATTGATTGGAAAAAATCAATTTTTGTTCTCATTCCCAAGAAAGGTGATCCAACAGAATTTGGAAATTATTGAACAATATCATTAATACAACACACAAACAAAATGTTACTGAGTATGATTTAAAAAATGGCTAGGAAAAAAATGGCTAGAACAGTACATAGACATTAAACTGTCAGACGTTCAAGCTGGATTTAGAAGAGGCAGTATCACTAGAAACACCATTGCTGATGTTAGATGGATCCTGACTGAAAGCAAAAAATACTAGAATATCTGTCTGTGCTTTATGCAAAGGTATTTGACTGTATGGATCATAACAAATTATGGCTAACATTAAGAAGAATGGGAATACCAGAACACTTTATTGTGCTTGTGTGAAACCTATACCTAGACCAAGAGGCTGTCGTGTGAAGAACATGAGCACACTGTATGGTTTAAAATCAGGAAAGGTGTGCCTCAGAATTGTATCCTTTCTCTATACCTATTAAATCTATATGGTGGGAAGATTATTTGAGAAGCTGGACTCTGAAGAAAAAGGTGGCATCAGGATTGAAAGAAGACTCATCAATAGTTTTCACTACGCAGATGACACAACTTTGCTTGATGAAAGTGAGGCGGACTTGAAGCACTTGCTGCAGAAGGTTAAACACTGCAGCCTTCAATATGAATTGCAACTCATTACCAAGAAAACAGATCTTCAACACTGGACTGATAGGCATCATCATGTTAGATGGAGGAAGAATTGAGACTGTCAACAACTTCATATTACTTTGGTCCACAATCAATGCACCTGGTACCAGCAGCCAGTAGATCAGGAGATGTATTGCACTGGGAAAGTCTGTAGTCAAGGACTTCTCTAAATTATTGAGGAGCAATGATGTCAATTTGAGGACTAATGTGTGCCTGATTCAGGTCATGATCTTTTCAGTCACTTGCTATGCATTTGGGGGCTGGACAGTGAATAAGGATGGCAGAAGAACTGATGTCTTTGAACTGTGGTATTGGAGAAGAGTGTTGAAGATCCCACGGACTGCCAAAAGACCAAATAGATAAGTCTTAGAGAAGGTGCAGCCAGAGTGCTCCTTGAAGGCAAAGATGATGAAGATTTGTCTCAGATATTTTTGGCACATTTCTAGGAAAGGTTATTCCTTAGAGAGGGACATCATGCTTGGGAAGATGGAGGAAGTAGGGAGGTTGACAAAGTGACTGTCACAATGAGCTTGAGGTCACAATATCTGAGATTGTGAGGATGGCATGGGATAGGATAGGATTCACATCGGTTGTTCATAGGGTCACTATGAGTCATATTCGATGACACCTAACAACAACAATAGGAACAGCTGGTTTATAATATAGTTCTACAAGCATCTTAGGAGAAAAGAGTGAAAACTGAAGGATGAAGGAAATAGGTAGCCACTAATTTTCATATATTTTATAATTTCTGCCTTATTCATCATTAGCAATAGTCACACAAACCAGCCTAACATAATCACTACTAGAAACTGTCCTTATAAAAAAAACACTTCCTTCAAGTAGATTCTGACTCAGAATAACCTTCTATTGGATTTGTTGTTATGTGCCATCAAATTGACTGCAACTCATAGCAATCCTATGCACAATAGCTCTGAACTCTGCCCTATCTGAGCCAATCTCACTGTCTCCCCCACACCTACTCCCATTACTCCAGTTACTGTGTCAATGCATCTCATCCAGGGTTTTCCTCCTTCTCTAAGGATTTTTCCTTCCTGGAAACATGCCTAAAGTATGTCAGACAGAGCTCCAAAATCCTTGCCTGCAAGGAGCAACTTGGTTTCAACCCTTCTGGGACATACTTATTAGCTGCCTTGGCAGTTCATGATATGTTCAATGCTCTTCTCCAGCACCACGACTTAAAGGCATCAATTCTTTTTCTGTCACCCTTAGTCATTTTCCAGATCTCTGATATGTAACAAATAATTGTGAAGACCAGGGTCTGGATCAGGCACACCTTAGTCTCTAGACTAACATCGCTTCTCTTCAGCACTTTGGAGATGTCACTGACAACAGATTTTCCCAATGCAATTCATCTTTTGATTCCTGACTGCTTCTGCCAAGATTGTTCTCAATCATTGGTTTCTAAGGCTGTAAATATTTACAAGCCATACTTCTATAGATTGCCAAGTAGATTTGAACTGCCATCTTTTCATTTAGCAACTCAACATGTAATGCACCGTGTCACTGGGTGCCTCATATTTTTTTAAATACAAATATTATCTCTCTTTTACTTTGAAGAGAGATCACTGAAATAATTCCACCAGAAAAACTATCAGCCACACAAATGTGAAAGCCACAGGAAGGTGAAGACACTTACCTCCTTAGTGGTAGAAGAAGGGAGTACAAAACCTTCCACAGAAAGTCCATGACACTGCAAAACAGAATAGATCAAATAACAAACTGTGGTAAACAAGGTTTTGATAAGAAAGCTGTAAGGATACACTAAGTACTTCTATGTGTCCTTCACTGGGTAGACTCTGAGTAATCACAGATCAGTGAGAGGCTTGATAGTCTAAATACGCTTTCCAAGAGATTACACTTTCCATGTGCCAAGATGCAAGTTTGGACTAGAAAACTTAAGGTTCATTCTGTACAAAAGGAAGTAGACAGGGATGACCTTTTGGCATAGACTAGCTACAAATATTCAGATTACTTGTGGGGATCCACTGCTGTCCAGTTGATCCTAATTCATAGTTATCCTCCACCAAGTTTACAAAGCTATAAATCTTAATTGGAGAGGACTGCCCACTCTGCTGAAGAACAACTGGTAGATTGCTAACTGGTAGTTAGCTACCAATCTTTTGGTTAGCAGTGTTACGTACTACACACAATTGTTGTTTTGTGTACTATTGAGTTGAAACCAACTTATAGCTGACCCTCCAACAGGTTTTCAGAAGCAGTAAATTGCACAGGAGATTGCCTATACTTCTTTCTCAGAGCAGCTCATGGATTCAAACCATGTGTTTTTGGGATTGCAGTGCGGTTCCTTACCACTAGGCCACCAGTGTTCCACCAGTATTATAGCGTAAAGCCATAACTACGCTGCCTTTAGAAAGATTTTAGGTTGGGAAAACAACAACAATAACACCTGCAAAATATACACTTATCAGACATATTACATGTAACTTATTGTTACAATATTTTCTATTTCAGTATCTCCATTAAGACTTCTACTCCTCATTGTTGATGTTGTTGTGTGCTGTCAAGTCAGAGCCGTTCCATAGCTGCTCCTAAAGCATATTTTCAGAGGCAGTAAGTGGCACGAGAGGAAATGTCCAACTTTTCTTCTGTGGAACAGCTGGTGGATTTGAATTGCCTGTCTTTGGGTTCACAGTGCAACTCTTTATCACTATGCCACCAGAGCTCCCTAATCTCCATTACCTTGCTATGTTTTTCCACTGACTTTCAATCTTCTATTCTATATAATGTTGTGGTTGTTGTTGTTATGTGCTATGAGTCGCTTGCGACTCATAGTGACCCTATGTACAACACCCCTGAACTCTGTTCTGTCCCGTGCCAATGACATTCCCATCCTGATTACACCAGTCATTGAATCAATCCACCTCATAGAGGGCCTTCCCATCCTGAGCTGTTCCTCCACCCTCCCAAGCATGATGCCCTTCTCCAAGGACCAGTTTCTCCTTACAACATGTCCAAAGTATGTTAGACGGAGCCGCAGAATCCTTGCCTCCAAGGAGCCACCCGGTTTAACTCTTTCCAGGATGAATCTGTTTGTTTTCCTAGCAGTCCATGGTACTCTCAATACTCTTCTCCAGCACAACAACTCAAAGGCATCAATTCTCCTTCTATCTTCCCTAGTCATTATCCAACTCTCTGACGCATAACAAGTGATAGCAAAGACCATGGCCTGTATCAGATGCACCTTAGTCTCCAGAGAGACAACATCGCTCTTCAGTACTTTGGAGAGGTCCCTAAGAGGAGACTTTCCCCATGGCAATAGACCTTTTAATTTCCTGGCTACTGGTGCCAAGAGTGTTGACTGTGGAGTCAAGCAAACTAAAGCTGTGAACAATTTCAATTTCTTCACCATTCATCCTGATGCTGCCAATTGGTCCAGTGGTGAGAATCTTTGTCTTCTTGACATTGAGCCTCAATCCATATTGAAGGCTGCAGTCCTTGACCCTCTGCAGCAAGCGCTTCAGGTCCTCCTATGTTTCAGCAAGCAGGCTTGTGTCATCTGCATAACGAAGATTGTTGATAGATCTAACAACAATCTTGACCCTGCATTTCTCCTCATAGAGCCCAACCTCCCAGATAATCTGTTCTGCATACAGGTTGAAAAGGTATGGAGACAGGATACATCCCTGGCGTATGCCCTTCCCAATTTCGAACCATGCAGTGTTCCCTTGCTCTGTTCTGACGACTGCCTCCTGGTCCAAATATAGGTTTCTCATTAGCACGATCAAGTGTGGGATTCCCATTCTTTTCAGAGTCAACCATGGTTTGTTATGATCCACACAGTCAAATGCCTTTGCATAGTCAATGACACAGATATACATTCCTCTGGTATTCCCTGCTTTCAGCTAAGATCCATCTAACATCAGCTACAATATCCGTAGTACCACGAACCCTTCTAAACCCAGCCTGGACTTCTGGCAATTCTCTGCTGATGTGCTGTTCCAGTCGTTTTTGGATAATCTTCAGTAGAATCTTGCTTGCATGTGAAAGCAATGATATTGTTCTATAGTTTCCACACTCTGTTGGGTCACCTTTTTTTGGGATGGGAACAAATATAGATCTCTTCCAGTCAGTTGCAAGTGGTTGTTCTCCAGATTTCTTGGCACAACTTGGTGAGCACGTATAGGGCAGCATCTGTTAGCATCTGCCATTCTATATAATATACTTGATATTTAATTTTTAAAAATTATTATTATTATCATTTTGTTGGGGTGGCATGTTGTACTGCTAACTAAAAGGCTGTGAATATCTAGTGGCTTGAATGCACCAACATAGAAGAAAAATGAGCAGTTTTTTTCCAGTTAAAAGCCTTGTAAACCCAGTGGAGGGTCTCTATGAGTCAGAATTGGCTCACTATCTCTGAGTTGAGGAGTATATAAACTCCACGAGCACAGATTATTGTCAATTTTGTTTTGTGCCCTTCGTCTAGAACCTAAAATAGAATAAAGGAGATTTTTCTTTGCCTTCTCACTATCTACTTGATTCTAAAAAATCAGTGCAAAGTAATGAGTGACCATTTACTATGTAAAAGAAATGAAAATATACAAAACATATATATATATATATATATATATATATATATATAGTCTAATTCAAGAAGCTTACTCACAGTTGTTAGATGCCATCCAGTTGACTCCAATTCATAAACAACGGAGCAAAATTTTGCAGTATCCTTCACTATTCACATAATCACTGTCATGCTCAAACCGAGTTTTGCAGCTAGTAAGTGAATCCATTTTTTTGAGGATCTTCTCTTCCTTACCCTCTGCTTTATCAAGCATGATAAAATTTTAAAAGCCAAATGGCATTCTCTGTACCTAGAATTACCATCTTTCAAATATATGTTAAAATGATGTGTTACAGGGAGGGAGGAACTCGAGCCCACGCCTTAGCCTACTGCTGCGTCCTTCACTCCACCATGCAGAAGGGAGGTCCCTGAGCTCCAGCCTGTCTCTGTATCCACATGGAAGACAACCTAGAGGGAGGGCCATGATCATCAGCCCTCTTCTTCTGGCTGTCAGGGTGAGGAGGAATATCTACCCTTCCTTTGAAGTACCTGCCCCCTCCCAGTGGGTATTGCTTCCCTAGTGGGTCCCTCACAGTGAGATCTGTGGTCCTCCCTCCCCAAAATCAGACCCCTGCCACTGTACCCAACTGACATTTTAGATTTCTGCTTTGAAAGAGCTGAAGAAGTGTGGACATATCACTGCTAGACACACAAAGACTCTGCCCTAGTTGAGATCCAGAGTAGTTTTCTTTGAAACTCTGCTGAAGACCTAGCCAGGGTGGAAGAACAGCTCTCTATAGATCAAAGTCTTCATTTGGATTTACGAATCCAAAGAACCATACCACCAACAAAAAAAAAATACAACAAAAGTCTTTTCCTTTTTCTGTCTGCAAGAACACTATCATCCCAATACATGGAAGAAGCAGACATCTCAGACTCCACACAAACCCAAAGCAAAGTGTCACCCAAATAAGTTATCAAAACACAGTCAATGAATTTCGTGGATGAGGGAAGGATTATAGAACTTCCTGAGGTGGAATTAAAAGGAATTAAGTGGTTTCACTGGCTCCAAGAAAACTACAGGCAAAGACCCAGAGAAACTTTAAAATGCAATACAGAACAAACCAGATAAAATCTATGAAATTCTAGAAACCATAGAAAAACAATAAAAAACAATCTAGAATAATAAGACTGATGTCTCAAAGCTGTTAATGTATTGGAGGGAATGATGAGGAGAATTGAAGAGATGGAACACAGAGTCAGTAGATAGAACTGTCAGCACTGATCTACTAAGCATAAAGTAGAAACAATAAGGAAATAAAATGAAGAAAGTCTAAGAATTATGTGGGATGCTATCAAGAGGAATAACATATGGGTAATCAGAATTCCAGAACAGGAAGAAGTAAAAAAAGGGGCACTGGAAAAAAATGGTGTAAAAGGTACTAGAAGAAAATTTCCCTGCATCATGAAAAATGAGAAAATAGACTAAGGCATATTACATTCAAATTCCCAGAATCAAAGGTAAGGAGAAAGTTCTGGAATCAGCAAGAAAAAAATAATGAAGAATTGCCTATAAAGGAGAATCAGTAAGATTAAGTGCCATTTTCTCAGCAGAAATCATGCAAACAAGAAGATAGTGGGATGATATATTCAAGACTCTGAAAGAAAATAACTGCCAACTGAGAATCCTGTTATCTAGAAAAGTACATCAAACATGACAAAGGTATAAGGATATAGTCAGAAAAGCAGAAACTAAGGGAATTTGTGACATGAGACTATGCTACAAAAATGCTAAATGGCACAGGGGGTTGGGGGGATCTCTGCTGGCTTAGTGGCAAAGAAGCTGAACTACAATCCTGAAGGTGTTGGTTCGAATTCACCAAATGCTCTACTGGAGAAGGAGGGGAAAGCTCCTTCTGTGCTAGTCAGGTACGATTCAATGGTACACAACAAGAAAAAAAAGAAGAAAGAAAAAAATATTAAATCTTTTAAAAAATGCTAAAGGAAGTCTATCTTACAGAGACACCACAGAAAACTGGATGGATAAAAGTGACCAGAAGAAAAACATAAAACAGACCCAAATAAAATTTAAACACTAAAAGCTTTTAATACTCATGCTGAATGTGAATGGTTTAAATACACCAGTAAAGAGAAAAAGAGTAGCA